GCCAGCCAGGCTGGGGGGCTCTCCGAGTTTTCACTGTTGACCAGCAAGGCATCGCTGTGGGGCTGCTATAGTTGGTCAAGTTTTTGTCGTCAGTCTTCTCTTTAAAAGAGAAAACCCAGCACCACTTTTTGCTCTCAACAATATTTCACAAAGGAAAGGGAAAATCACCAAAAAGAGGAAGGAGATGATCATTTTAGAGTGACAGCCTCCCAAGAGAGGCCAGGCGGCTTCCTCAGTCAGCCGTTCCGAGCAGAGACCACAGAAAAGTGTGATGAGTCTTTGTGGACTGGAGTCAGGGGATGGAGCTTTGGGGCTTGTTAAAAAGGTGGCTCGCCATCTGGGGGTGAGGACAGGCGCTTCCGGGGAGGAGCTGCCCAGCCTCTGCCGGCCAGTAGGAAGCTGGGAATGTCTTCCGGGTTTTTCTTAGAGAAAATCTTTGTCAGCTTTGCATTCTAACCCACAAGCTGTCTATGTTGGTTATGTCACAAAAGTGTTTTCTTTACCGGTTCGATCTTTGAATCAAAGCAAGATGGAGTGTGAATCTTCTTCAGCAAGCTCCAGACACACCGCCTGCTCCCCGCAGTGTCTGTGTGCCCCAGTTTGGGAGTCAAAAGTTGAGTCTGGGCTTTGGAATTGATCAGATGTGGTATCCGGGCTGTGCTGCTCCTTAGCTGAGTGAGAGCCCTGACCTCCTTTTCTTCATCTATAAAATGGGAACAAGAGTTGCCACCTTGGGGTGGCCTAGGGATATCAGCCCAACGGGGAGGAGATTCAAGGGTGGTGGGCCACCCAGGGTGAGCCCTTGGAGGAGAGATTCCTTGGTGGTCATACCTTGTGCTGTGAGCTTTGTGGAACTGAGCCTGAGGGGCATGTGTGGGGCCCTCAGCTGAGCTCATAGGGAAGAAATTTGATGGGGAGGGGTCCCCTCTGGAGTGAGAGCTGAGCTGGCAGCATCTACCCTGAGAGAGGGCAGGTTGACAGATGCCTATTCCCAGAGCTAGCCCCTCCTGCCACCACCTCGTATCCAGCCCGAGGGACAAGGAGGCCCTAGGTATGGGGGCACAGAGGAGCCAGGGAAAGGGGCTGAGGCCTGGCTCAAGTCCTCCTTTTGGGGCAGCCCTGAGTGTGAGAGCTGAGGGGGTGGGCCCCACTCCCCCGGAGTGCTGGGCCCTTCCTGGCAGGGGTTCGTCTTGCTGCTCTGGGCTAGCTCTTGGTTTCCACGTCTCTGGGTTTCTCTGGGGTTCCTTCCTCATTCCGGGCTCTTCCACGGCCTCCCCTGACCTCCCCCTGCCTCTTACTTGTCTCTGTGGCTTCTTTGTGGTTCTTGCCACCTTCCTAGTATATCCAGGAGCGATTGGAGGGCCATGGACAGGTGATTGTGCCAGGGAAGGTGTGTGTGATCGTGTGTGGGCGTCATCTCATACTGGGGGTGCCTGCTGCAGGTGCGTGGCCGAGCTGGCACTGCTGTGTGGAGCCCTGAAGGCTGGGGAGCATTCTTGCCTCCTGGGATGGAGTTCACTTACCTTTAAAGTCACTGTGGCTTTGGCAGGTTGGAAGGCAAAACTGCTACAGGTGTGGCTAGCTGCTAAGAAGTGTGCTGTGTGTTCTGGGCTTGCTTCCTGGGACTCACTTCCCCAGTGCCCCCGGGCTCCGTTCCCCGGCAGGAACCTGGGCCACTTCTCTCCTTTGCTGCCACACCCAGGGCTGCGGCAAGGGGCCCAGCTGCCCACAGCTTTCCCAGGAAGGCTGGGACCCGAATTCTAGCGCCTCTGTCCTTGGCTGCAGGTCTGGGTGCCCTCCTCTCCCAACCTGAGAGTGCAGCAGCAGCTCTGTGGGGGAGAAGAAGGCCTGGTTCGTCACCAGAGAATTAGCTTCTGGGAGAGTGTTAGCTTCTGGGTTAATCACTGCTGCTCTGAAGCTGCCGACACCTCTGTACGTGTGACATCACTGGGCTCCGAGGAGGGAGACCGAGTTTCCCAGGGCTGGATGAGACCAGGAAGCTGCCCCTTGTGCAGTCACCAGCCTGGTGCCACCAGTCACTGCCCATAGGCAGTGTGGCCTCTGAAGGAACTGTGAAGGACCAGAGGGCAGCTGCTTGGCCGTGGGTCTGTCTGCCTTCCTACTTCTCAAAGCAGACAGACCTGCATGATGACACTTGCTCACCGCCACCACAAAGACACAGAATCCGGGCTCTGTTGCTTCTTATCTGCAGAGCCAAATCCCTTAGTGCCTCAGCCTTCCCTTTCTTATCTCTAAAGTAGGGGTAATAATCTGCGGCTCTGAGAATGGTGTAAAGGTAAAATACCTAAGAGCAGTGAGCGCACCTCTTCACTAAAGGAAATTGGGGTTCTTGGAGACATGGCAGATTCCAGGGCTGGGGCAGGGACAGTGCAGGCTGAGCCCGGAGCATCTGGGAGTGGCAGAAAGTAAGGACGCGCTCGCAGATGAATGAGCACATGTCCAAAATCTCCCACTGGTTGTACTTGGGATGTTTGAGCATCAAAAAGAATAATGAATGCAGAACGAAGCACTCATGATATCCCCACTGCCCTCCTCGCAAAGGGAAGACTAGGGGAAGCTCGTCTTTGGGGAATGCCGGGTCACGTGGAGGAGACTGGGTGACAGTGGGTTCCAGCAGTGCTTCTCAGGCTTCACTGCGCATACAGTGCACTAAGGGGACCTGTTAAAGGGAACAGTCTGGGTCAGCCAGTCTGCAGTGTTTTCTCTCCCCCAGGCTCTTGGAAGACCGGGATGCAGCTGCCTGCAGACCTCACGCTGAACAGCAAAGAATGATGGATGGTGAGGGCATTGAGCAGAAAGTTCAGCAACTTTTTGCCTTGCCACAGTGACAGTGATTGCCCTGCAGATGACTAAGAGAAAAGTGACATTTCTTTCCAAGAGATCTGGCAAACGTGACTCAGACCCAGCGGTCAAGCTTACCACAGCTGTAATGTGGTCGGAAGGTGCCGGACTTTCGCCAGAGCAGCGTTTCCACCTGAATGTCATCACAAGGAAACAGATGAATCTGGTGTAGGGGGTGGGGGGGGGGGATTTTCCAAGTGATAGGTTTTCACTCTTAAAAAGATAACAATAACAAGAAAGAAGAAAAAAAGGATGACACTGATTAATAGGCAGGCGGGGAACATTCTGGACTAAAGGAAGAAGAGACCCGACAATCAGAAGCAATATGTGAACTACAGTTGGATCCTAGACTGAAAAGCAGACGGCCCAGACGGAAAGTGCACTAGGGGGATACCCGGGGATATCTGAATGTGGACCGTGTGTCAGATGGTATTTAAAATATATATTAAAGGGATCAGAGGTGCTCACAGTATCACGGGGATTTCGGAGCACATTCTTGTTCTCAGGAAAAATGTTGCAGGGTTTAGGGGTGAAGCACTCTGGAATGAAGGTCATCCCAGTGACCTTCTGCTACTTACCTTCTGTTGGTTGGGCAAACATTCAAATGCAGGAACTGTTTGTATAGAAAGAAAAGTGACTGGGCATGGTGGCTCATACCTGCAATCCCAGCACTTTGGGAGGCTGAGGTGGGAGGATCACTTGAGGGTAGGAGTTCGAGACCAGACTGGGCAACAGAGTGAGGCACTGTCGCTACAAAAAATAAAAATATTAGCTAGGCGCAGTGGCTTGTAGTCCCAGCTACTTGGGACGCTGAGGTGGGTGGATCGTTTAAGCCCAGGAAGTCTAGGCTGCTGTGAGCCGGGATGGCGCCATGCACTCTAGCTTGGGCGACAGAGCAAGAAAGGAGGAAAGCAAAAAAGCAAATGAACATGGCCACGTGGGAACAGTTGATTGGTGAATCTGGGTGAAGGGTAGATGACAGTCTCTGTAGTATCTTGTCTGCTTTCTTTGAGGTCTATACTTTGAAAATAAGAAGGGCAGAGGGGCACATGAAGTGTGGTGGTGAGTGGTGGGCTTAGAACCTCTTTTCCTCCCTCTGCTGTCTTGTCGGGGCTGCTGTGGCCTGCTGCATGGAACCTGGGTGGTTGGAGGCCACCCAGACCCTCTGTCTGGAAGTGTGGAGCAGGCTTAGGCGACTCCACCTTCGGAGTGGGGATGGGGAGGTGTGAGCAGCAGCCAGGAGAGGGGGTCCTCTGTGTCTGGATGCCAGGGCAGCTCGCATTTGAGAGATGGACTTGGAGGAGGGGTTGTGTGCTGGGGGGCTAGGTGACTATGGGGTCTGCAGCACTGTCCTCAGACTGGCCCCCTCTGCCCCTGGGGGTTTACAACTCTGCTTGTATCCCTTCACCACTGCCACCCCAGCCTGATGCATCAGGCAGCAGGCAGACTCTCGAGGCAGAAGAGGGGAGGCAGAGGGGCCATACCCTTTCCCTGCCTGGGCACCTACCATGGCCTGCCCACACCAACCCTAGTTTCAGTGCAGACTTGTCCTGCCATGTTCCTGGCACCTCCTGCAAGGCCTCAGAGCTGGTGACCGGGGAGGCCGTCAGCTGGCCGACCTGCCCTCTGTCTCCCCTGCAGGGGTCCCTGGAGCACCAGGGCAGGAAGACCCCGGAGGCCAGCCCTGTGTCATCAGCCACAGCTTCCCAGCTGTGCTTGGGAGAGGGTGGAGGAGGAGGGGTGAGGAGAGATTCACAAAGGGACAGCTCTAAGGAGGCAGGGAGGGAACCTGGACCCAGAGGCATGATGGGTGCAGAGTATCGCCTGTGTCCCGTGCGAGGAGTCGTCCTCCCTTTTGCCTCTCAGCGTATCTCCCTCAGGACTGGGCCCAGGGAAAGCCTGGCAGAATGTCTGACAGTGGCCTTCCCCCTGCCTGCCTGCCCGTCCTCCGTCTGTGTCTGCCTGCCTGGGGAGCCTCAGTGTGAAGCTGCTGGGGCATGAGGGTTGCATCCTGTCCCTGTGGCCCCTGACCGCAGGCTCTGCTGAGAGGAAGGGGCAAGGCGGGGCTCACTTCTCAGCCCATCCTTCCTGCACAGGCAGTCTGGCATGTGGAGGAGATGATGCGGAAGGTGAGGGCCTCATGAATTTTTTGGGGTCTCAGTAGCTGGGTAGTGGGTGCCTGGGTGGGGAGATGTGCAGGATGAGGCCCCTCTTCCATGTGTGGTCGGTGGGGTGTTAGGAACTCTGCAGCCACTGAGATGCCTCCAGCCACAGCGGGGAAGAGGGGATGAGGGGTGTCGCCAGCTGGTCGAGGAGCCCCCAGCTTTCTCCCCGGTCATGGCTGGGACCAGAATGGCTGGGAATACGGCCCTTACCCCTCCTCCCTCCAGCTTTCCTCCTGGGTCCCTGGGCTGGTCCTTCTCACGGCCCTGTGAAGTGCTTCTCCCTGCCCTGGGCCAGGCCACTTAGACTGTGGGTGTGTGTCCCCCAAGTGCAGGGGACCCGCTGCTCTCTGGGGCTGAGGGCGGGATCAGAGACCTCAGGAGGGGCTGCTGGGGCACAGCCTGGTGAGCCCGAAGACCCACCCCCTCCTCATCCTGGCGGCTGGAGCTCCCGGCCCCTCCTGACTTGACCACTTCAGGCTGTGTCCTCATTTGTTTGTGCTCACCTGCCATCTGTCCCTCAGAGGTGAGGACACTTCCCTTGTGAGGAGTCAGCCCTGGTATCTTGAAGTGGGTGCTGGCCTGGCTTAAACAAGACGGGCCTGGGTGCCTTTCCTCTCTCTGGGTTTGGTGGCCGGGCACTGACTGTGCCCCATGACTCATGCTGTGGGTCAAGGCCTTGTCTTGGGGGGCTGTTGGAGGGTGGCAGGACTCCCTGTACCCACTGGGAGAGGCTGACGCCAGGGCGTTCTGTCCTCTCACTGGGCCATGACAGAGGCCTTGGTGGAGGGCTGGGAAGAGGCACTTGGCCACGGGACACTCCCACTGAGCCCCTGTGGGACCTGGTGCCAGAGGCACGGTGCCACCAACTCAGTGAACCTCTCAGCCTTTCTAGGGAGGAGCCTTGGGCGGCTTTCCTTCCACATCGGGGGCTCAGCGAGGCTGAACCTATGGATGTTTGCAGGAGAAGGAGGCTCTGGAGCTGGCCACGGGGCCACTCCTTCGTCTTTCCTGCCACCTGCCCCCACCTCACTGCCCTGCCCTGAGATGTCCCCTCTGAGGCACTTCAGCTCCACTCACATGCGGACTTGGGCTGAGGACGTGGTGAGAGCCAGTTAGGCTCCCGAGACTGTTGGCTCTGTGGCCGCCTCTGCTCCCTGGGCCTCTGTGTGTCTCGTCCTCTGCCAAGTTATCAAAGGCTCCCCTTTGTTTATCACAGAGTGAGCATGCCTGGTAAGTGTGTGATGAGTGTGAGTGGAGCTGACTGTCTCAGGCGTCCTCCCCGCGATAACCCTGGACAGAGTGCAAATCCTGGTCTATGCCACAAGGCCCTCCTCCTCACCCAACTCCTGCTCATCCATAAAAACCCAGCACAATTGTCCTGCCAGGCTTTCCTGAGTCGTTGCTGGGCCATCCCCTCCTGGACACCTGGAGTCCCCTGTGTCCCTCCGTGTTCTGCCTGTGAGCTTGGCATAGGGGAGGTCCCACTAACCAAGTGTAAAACAGATGTAGTAGAAGACCTGTGTCCCAAGGCTCACGGCCTTGTCCCAGCTCCTGTTCTGGGGCAGGGGGTGCCCAGCTTGTTTTTCCCTGTGGTAGCCACACCAGGAGCTCCTTGAGGATGGGGACCCACAGGCCATGCATCTGTGTTCCCTCATCGATGAAATGAGGGTAGGTGCAGTGAGGATGGTGTGTGGCCAAGGCCGGCCTCACCTATCAGTCTAACCTGGATCTCCGTCATGCTGTGGTCTTGTCGTTCGTCCCATATCCAGGGTGGGGGTACTGGAGAGCTGAGAGCTTCAGCATTCTGAGGTCCAGCAGAGTGAGGTGGCTGGCTCAGCCTCACGCTTCCATGCTGCCATGCCCTCCACCCCTCAGGGCTGAGGGCTTTGTGTACATTACCCTTCCATTTTGCCTAGGAGAAGCCTGAGACTGAGAGGCAGGTGTTTAGTTTAAGGTCACGTCTCTGCCCCCAAAGCCCACAGTTCAGATGAGCAGCAGCCAGCAAGAATATCTTGCATGTCTGTCCTGTGTTTAGCCCTGTGTGGGTGTTGGGGACACAGATGACTGGGACACTGTCCCCGACCTCAAGCTTTCATTCAAGGTGAGGGTACCAGGCATGCAGGCATGTCACACAGCAGTGAGGAAAGGTCTCAGGCTGTAAGTGGTGCAGAGTGTTTGTGGGAAGGAGAGATCAGGGACAGTTCACAGTGATGTCAACCTGAGCGAGGTTTTGAAGGATGCATAGGACTTTGCCAAGTGCACATAATGTGTGTGCATCTGTGACTTCCATCAAGCATCTTGGGATGCCATCAACCTGGACCTGGTGTGAGGGCTGGTGGTGTCAGTCAGGCCCATCTGCCAACTGTGTGAAGGCTGCTCTGTACATTACCCTCTATACATTACCCTCTGCACATTACCCTCTGTACATTACCCTCTATACATTACCCTCTGCACATTACCCTCTGTACATTACCCTCTATACATTACCCTCTGCACATTACCCTCTGTACATTACCCTCTATACATTACCCTCTGCACATTACCCTCTGTACATTACCCTCTATACATTACCCTCTGCACATTACCGTCTGTACATTACCCTCTATACATCACCCTCTGCACATTACACTCTGTACATCACCCTCTATACATTACCCTGTGCACATTACCCTCTGTACATCACCCTCTGTACATCACCCTCTGCACATTGCCCTCTGGACATCGCCATCTGCACATCGCCCTCTGCACATCACCCTCTGTACATCACCCTCTGCACATCACCCTCTGCACATCACCCTCTACACATCACCCTCTGTACATCACCCTCTGTACATTACACTCTGCACATCATCCTCTGCACATCACCCTCTGTACATCGCCCTCTGCACATCACCCTCTGCACATCACCCTCTGCACATTACACTCTGCACATCACCCTCTGTACATCACACTCTGCACATCACCCTCTGTATATTACCCTCTGTACATCACCCTCTCCACATCACCCTCTGCACATCATCCTCTGTACATTATTCTCTGCACATCACCCTCTGCATATCACCCTCTACACATCACCCTCTGTACATTATTTTCTGCACATCACCCTCTCCACATCACCCTCTACCCATCACCCTCTGTACATTATTCTCTGCACATCACCCTCTGCATATCACCCTCTACACATCACCCTCTGTACATTATTTTCTGCACATCACCCTCTCCACATCACCCTCTACCCATCACCCTCTGTACATTATTCTCTGCACATCACCCTCTGCACATCATCCTCTGTATCTCACCCTCTGCACATCACTCTCTGCACATCACCCTCTGTACATCGTCCTCTGTACATCACCCTCCGCACATCACCCTCTGTACATCACCCTCTGCACATCACCCTCTGTACATCATTCTCTGTACATCACCCTCTGCACATCATTCTCTGTGCATCACACTGCACATCACCCTCTGTGCATCACACTGCACATCACCCTCTGTGCATCACACTGCACATCACCCTCTGTGCATCACACTGCACATCACCCTCTGTGCATCACACTGCACATCACCCTCTGTGCATCACACTGCACATCACCCTCTGTACATCATCCTCTGCACATCATCCTCTGTACATTATTCTATGCACATCACACTCTGCATATCATCCTCTGTATATTATCCTCTGTACATCGCACTCTGCACATCGCCCTCTGTACATCACCTTCTGCACATCACCCTCTGCACATCACCCTCTGCACATCACCCTCTGTACATCATCCTCTGTACATCACCCTCTACACATCACCCTCTGTATATCACCCTCTGTACATTATTCTCTGCACATCACCCTCTGTACATTATCCTCTGTACAGCACCCTCTGCACATCACCCTCTGCACATCACCCTCTGTACATCATCCTCTGTACATCACCCTCTACACATCACCCTCTGTATATCACCCTCTGTACATTATTCTCTGCACATCACCCTCTGTACATTATCCTCTGTACAGCACCCTCTGTACCTCACCCTCTACACATCACCGTCTGCACATCAGCCTCAGTCTGCACATTATCCTCTGAAGGCCTTTAGGGATTGGCCATTTCTTGAATACCGTGGACCATGTTCTGCTATGCATTTTATAGACATGATCTTTGTAATCCTTGGGGAGGGTGCTGATGCTCACTTCATTTTGTAGATTGAGGCTCACAGTGTAGGCGTCCCTTTTCCCAAGGGTCTTCTCACTGCTGGATGGAGTCTCACCTGGGCTGGCCTCTCATTCTCAAGGCTGGACGATCTCCCTGTGGGCTCCAGCTGTCTGTGCAGAGCAAGCAGCAGTGTTTGTGAACTGGGTCGAGTGTGTGTCTGTCTCTGCATACCTCGAGAGCCCTGATGGCCAGTGTGGGTGGGATAGACTGGGGACCTTTTGCTGGCTGACTGTGTCTGTCTTCTCAGGGAGAAGGAGAGCAGGGCATGGAAGTGGCCTCCTCCCTGGTGCTCCTGCCTTGGGGGTTGACCAGTCCCTGACCTGTTTCTGAGAGCTTCTGGGTCTCTCTGGAGACCCTGGTGTACTTCCTGGAGTTCTTTTCCATCTGGTGGTCTGTTCCTCTCTTTGGAGGTGGTGGCGCTATGGGTGGGCACCACACCAGAGGGGCTGAGTTGCCTACCCAAGCTCCATGCTGAGCTGGGCAAGGTATCTCCCCAACTCAACTCACTTTCTGGGGGTCCTTTCAGCCACCTGGATGTGGCTGCCAGGGCAGCAGTGGGGAGCCTGTGAGTTGTGCAGTTTCCACTTTCTTGTTCATGTGGGTTTTGTTTTGTTTTTTTCTCATCCCAGCATAAGCCCTTGGCATCCAGCTGCCCCTGCCTGATGGGCTGTGCCCTGACCATTGTAGCGCAGCATTCAGTGCTGCCTCCCAGTGCCCACCTGTCCCCTGCCTGCCACTCACCTTCCCGCACAATCCTCTGTGACCTCCAGTCACTTTGAGCAATTCAAAACTCCCCAGTCAAATGCTCCCTCTTTCTGGTCTCCTTACCTTTGTTGTAGCCCCCTTTTTGTCTGAGCTGTCACCCGCTCCAGGAAGTCTTCCCTGACTGCCCAGGTTAGATGGGATCTCCACCCCAGGGTCCCACAGCCCTAAGTGTTTCCCCATGTCAGGATAGAGACCCACATGTGATTCCTCTCTGCTGCACCAGCCAAGGTGCTCACGGCCGGGCATAGAGCAGGTGCTTGGTGGGAGATGGCCAAGAGCAGCTGGCCTTGCCAAGGCTCCTGGGCCAGGCGGGGGAAGTGCAGGCAGGGCCGCACAGGCCATACAAGGTGGGAAGGGGCCCGGCTCTGTCCTGGAACCAGGCATCCCTCAGTCCAGGACCCTGGCCTGGGCCCTGGGCAGGCAAAGCTGACGTTCTTGGCAGCGCGGCCTGGCTCCAGGTCTTGGAAGGGAGGGTGTGTCTGTGGGCCTGCTGGACTCCCCCTTGCTCATGGGGCTCCCCACTGCTCCTGGGCCCACCTTTTCTCCCTTCACTTTCCACTCCCACCCCCTATTTTGTTTCCTTTTCATTCTTGTGGGGTCTTGGTCAGTGCCTGGAAGAGGCCTCTGCTGAGCCCTCAGTGTTGGCCCTTTTTCAGCCCTGATGGAGGTGCCTCCCGGGCTGTGGGTGTGTCACTGCTCTTCCCCTCCGCTCTCCAGCAACCCCTGCCCTCTCTCCGCACTCCTCATCCCTTTTCAGTGCCCTGGCTCTTTGTCTTTTTGTTCTCCTGCTCTTTCCTACTCTGCCCCCCCACCCCCCCTTGCCTCTGTATTTTGCCTCCCTGCCTCCATCTCTCTATCCCTCATGGGGAGCTCTGGGGTTGGGGGAGCAGGCCCAATGAGGGAAGTCTGGGAGGGTGTGGTGGTCAGCATATGCTCTCAGGGTCCTGAGCTGGCGCCTTCCTTCCCTAGTGCTTTCTCCATCCTGGTGTGGCTCCCCTTCTTAGCCCTTGCCCACCCATCCCCGCTCCCCCTCCCACTCCCCACACAGCTGAAGGAGGAGGACAGCTGCCACTCACCAGGGGTCTGCCTCTGAGACTCTTGGTTGCCAGCAGACTGGCTGTGAGCCCATGCGTGTGCCTTTGTGTGCCTTGTGTGTATGTGCATGTGTGTGTGCAGGAAGGAGCAGAGTGCCTGGAGCAGGTCACATCTAAAAACCCCGGCAGGTCAGAAGCGGACTCCGAGTGTCCCCGGCAGCCCCCAGCCACCCCTTGCTGCCCTCCTTGTTCCAAGATGGCTCCTGCTGGTTCAGGGCCTGCTCTGCTGATGCCTGTGGCATTCATGGGCCTTGGGCCCAGGGAATGGAGTCATTTGGGGAAGGGGGGCTGCCCCTGCTTGGCCCCACTTCTGCTTGGCTCACTTTACAGCTGCCAGGGTTGGGGCGGAGCACCCAGGGGTGTAGTGTGAGATCAGCAAGGAGGACGCCTGATCCTTCCTGCTGTCTTTGAAGCCTCCCTCCTCCTGGCTGTGGTCACTATGGCGAGCCTGTCCTAAGCTCCACTTTTGGCTGATTGTTGAGCCCTGGGTAGAGGGTGGGGAGGCCTGAAGACCATGTGGACTCAGCCATGCCCTGGGGCATTGCAGCTCTGTGAGGGCACCCTGAGCTGGGCGATGTTGGCTAGAGGCTTCCCAGAGCCTGGTCTGTGGTGTTGGTGACGGAACACTCTCCTTTCCCAGGTAACACTCTCCCCTTCTCTCCTGGCCTCGGCAGGTTCTCCAGAAGCTGGGGAAGGCAGATGAGACCAAGGATGAGCAGTTTGAGCAGTGCGTCCAGAACTTCAACAAGCAGCTGGTGAGTGTGGGTGGCCCTTGGCCTTAGGGAGTTTGTGAAAATTCAGCTGCCAGCTGGAAAATGGCATGAACTGAATTTGTGGAATACGAGCGCTTGGAGGAGGGAAATCAGTCTGGGCTGACAAGATCATGGAAGACTTCCTGGAGAAGGCTGCACAGGCTATGCATGCTGGGAAAGAGGAGGGTGGGGGTATGTATTCTTTAGGTCCTTGGTAAGAGACATAGAAAGGGTAGCTGGGGGAGAGGGAGGGTGGGATAGGAGCAGGTAATAGATTATGGCCAGACTCGGGAAACCTTTTTGTGTCAGGGGCAAGTCGTAGCTATAGAAGCTTCTTGCCAGGAGAGTGGCATCTGCAGCCGTTAGCATGGGGGTGGAGCAGGCTGGATTTGATTTAGGCATCTGCTGAGCATGGTGAGTGCCTGGCTCTGTGGCAGACTAAAGGCTGGGACAATCGGAGACGGCTGTGGACACCTCCCAATGGCTCTGTAAGGGGCCCGTACCACTGTTCCCCTTTTGTAGATGAAGCAGCTGAGGTGGAGAAGTTGGATAATTTGCCCAAGGCCATCTAGCTCTGGAAATGGATTCAGATCCGTACTTGCCTAGCTCCAAAGCCTGAAGGGACTTCCAGGACATCCTTATCAAGGGCCATTATAGGCCGGGGGCCAGTGACAGAAGGGGGTGGTCACACTGGCACTCTGGGGAAGTGGTTGGATATAGAGAGGGCTTTCCTGCTGAAGGGCTCAGAATACCTGCCCTGGGCTTCCCCTGAAGCTTCCCCTGGAGATCTGCGAAGTCCATAGCCACTGCTGCATCTGTGTGAGGACAGGAGATGACTCTGGCAATTCCCCCTCCTTGGGGAGGGCTGAAGTATCTAGGAGGGGGAGCTGCACCACGGCTCTCTGGCTTTTGCAGGCCAGCCCCAGGGAGTGACAGGTGGGGAGGGAGGCCAGAGAAGGAGGCCAAGAGGAATGGGACCAGGCATGGGGTGTGAGGTCAGAGTCTAAGCTCACCTAGGGAGAGGGTGGGCTGAGCCCCCGGGCTCTAGGGAACCAGGCCTCTCTATACTCTTTGTCCATGTCTGAGGCCTTGGAAAGCACTGAAGGCACCCACCAAAGCCTCTGCAGCTGGCATGGAACCTGGGGAAGGGGCCTCCTTTGGAGAACCCTGACTGCTCACTGGTCAGGTTCTGGGAGCAGCTGGTGAGGGCCATGAAGCAGCTGGGAGGCTGGGAGCATTCTGGGAGAGGGACAGGGTGCAGCTGGGAGAGCTGAGAGCATTCTGGGAGGGGACCTAGAGCAGCTGGGAGGGCTGGGAGCATTCTGGGAGAGGGCCGGGAGCATTCTGGGAGGTATAGGATGCAGCTGGGAGAGCTGGGAGCATTCTGGGAGGAGACCTAGCGCAGCTGGGAGGACTAGGACCATTGTGGGAGAGGACCAGGAGCATGGGGGAGAGGCCCCAGGGTCAAACCAGCCTTGGCTTGCCAGAGGGGTGCACCCTGACCGGCTTCACCGGACAGGGAATGGGGAGGCACTTTGGCTGCTTGTCCTCTAGGCCAGTTATGGGAGGAGTTTCAAGGCCCAGGTGGACGCCATGACAGGGAATATCTACTGCCTCTGTAGATAGGAACTTCCCAGGGCCCCTTGGGCCTCAGTTTCCTCATCTGCAAAATATAGGCTTAAACAAGAAACCTGGTCTTAGGTTCCGATTCTGTCTCTGGGAAGCCCCGGGGCGTGTCCCTACTCAGCTGGCTTCATCGGGTTATCGGTTACTCTGAAGGCTCTTTAAGGAGTTGCTGTGGCCATGGGCCAGGAACTGCTGTGTGTTTGACAGACATCTCTGCAGTCCCTGAAATGGATGCTGATATTCTCTTCATTTTGCAGATGAGGCACTTGAGGTGCAGAGAGGTTAAGCACATCTTCCAGGGCTACACAGCTGGCGTGGGTGTTGGGGATTGAAAAGCAGGCTCTGTGGCCTTTGGCTCACTCTTGAATTACCTCTCTGGAGCTGATCCCTTGTCCTGAGGGCAGCTGGCTAGGCTGGGGGGACAGGTTAGGGGTGGAGGTGGTGGGGGTTCCTTAGAACAGGCTGAGCTTTGGCAGAGGGTGAGGGAAGCACAGGTCTGGGAGCCGAGGTTCTTTGTGGCCTGGCCCCAGGGCTGAAACCACAGTGTTGCTGTGCCCACTGTCCCTCAGAGTCACCCCCTCTTGGTCCCTACTCTGGGCAAGCAGTCACTCACTGCTCCTTGGACAGAGGGGCTGGGCAGAGAGGCCAGGGCTAAAGATAGCCAGTGCTGAGTGCTGCCAGGCGGCTGCCAGGCTGTGGCTGTGGAGTGGTCCCGAGCTGGGCCTCTGTCTGCTCTCAGGCTCGGGTTTGGTGGGGTGGCTGGCTTTTTAGGGGCCACGGATGGTAGTTGGGGTGTCAGTTTTAAAGTCTTGTTCAAGGCTGGGGCCAAGGCAGCCAGTTCTGGATTTGATTGGTGTGTGGGAGTGGCAGGGTGTGGGGCTGGATGTGGGGACTGGGAGGGAATGGGGTGAGGGTCACTTATATCAAGGGAGTGAATTTAGGAGGCTGCAGTGGGCTTGGTAGCCCTGGGGAAGGAGAGAGAGAATGGGGTGTGGGAAGCCTGGAGGCTGAGCTTTTTCCTGCCTCTTTATCTGTGAGCCTCATGCCTAGTGGGCTTAGTGGTAGGAGGGACAAGGATGGCAGGTGATTTAGTCTTTGAAGACGCGAACCTCTCACTCCTTTCTATGTGTGGGGGGGTCCCTAGGAGAGGGTTTAGGTCACCTTGCTGTCACCTGCTCTCACAAGGACCCAGGTGCGCAGCCCCTCCTGGGCCCACCTGCTGCTGGTCACAGTGGTGGCCCTGCCTTCTGCCCTTGGTCTACGAGCCCATGAGGGCCCCTTGCCCCTCCCCAGAATACTGCACACCCGGCACAGGCCCTTCTGGAAGCTATCTGGGTCTCTCAGGGAAGCCTGGCTTTTCTTCCTAGGGGCTGCCTGTAGCCCTCCCGGCCCCAGGGCTGTCATTGCTATGTGTCTGTCACAGAGTTGGGACAGGTCTGATCCCTTCTTTTCCTTAGGGCCCACCCCGTGTTTTGCTCAAAGTGGGCGTCCCTGGCTATTGAGTGAGGGTCACTTTTGGCACTGATGGGCAGGAGGCGAGAGTCAGAGCTGGAGCTAAAGGGTTCCCTGTGGGAGGGGTGTCCCTGCCCCCTAGAACCACCGGGAACACGGGGACTTGGGTGCTCAGGCCACCTATGGGGACTGATCCAGGAGATGCAGCAGGGTGCTGGGGATGCTGGCTGAGCCCAGCCGCACTGGAGCTGCAACTGTCCCTTCCTGACTCCCCCAGGTCCTCTATCTGGGACATGGTCTGAGGTGGGCAATGGCTTCTGAATCTTACCTTCCCCCAGCTAGACTCTGTGAAATCTGGGACCTCCAGAGAATTGTTTCTCAGATCCCTTTTTAGGGGCTGAGGGAGCTGGTCTGAAAGCAAACACAGTGTTCTGTGCTGGCCTGGGCGCTGCCCTGCAGAGGGAAGCTGTCTGGGGCCTCAGCGCGGGAGGGCTGAGTGTACCCTGGTGACTGGCTTAGGAAGCCAGCTGCAGTGGGCACAGGGAGGCCGCGCTCCGGCCAACCCGCTACACTGCATGCCACATGCCGGCGCACAGCCCAGTGTTGTTTGGGCATCACTAGGGGCCCTGGTGGGGCCTGAAGCTGGGGGATGGGGGCACAGCGATCCACCCCATGGGGACCCCTGCTTGGGGGGAAGGGTGAGGAGGGCGTGGAGGTGTGGCTGTGATGGTGGAGGCTTGGCAGGGAGAGAAGCTGGATCTGGAAGATTCTGTGACATCAGGGGACACAATAGCATCCCATTATGAACACACTTTAATCCTCGTCTCAACCAACAAAGCCTTTGATTGTGAAGACTGAGGGTGGCTGTGTCAGGAGTGGGACAGACCCTTCCTCATTCCTCATCCCCGAGGGGTCTCCATCCCACCTCCAACGGAATTCCAGAGAGGCTGAGTGTCCGTGGTGGAGCGGCCGTCTGTTTCTTCACTCAGTCTTGCATCGGAGGGCCTTGAACTTGGATGTTCGTAAGAATGATGACTGGCCAGTGTTGGACACCCTACTCTATGGAGGATGAAAGGAATTTTAGAGAGAGTTTTTTTCTTCACACCTCCTCTTTTTAAAATCATGTAACATCTTATGTGCTGCTCGTAAGCCCTTCCTGTGGCTGTCTCTGCTGCCGCACGGAAGCATTCATTGTAACAGGCAGATCTGGGGGTTCTCAGGGCCGCATCACTACCATTACCCACAAAACACGCTGCGGCTGTGTGCCCAGGCTTGGAGGGGCTCATGGGCTCCCCCAGTCTCTGTGTGCCTGGGCCGGTTGCTGACCCTCTGTCTGCTTCTGTGCTGTCGGGTGGGGCAGGGGTGTCAAGATGACTGCATGGAAGGTGCTGACCGCCAGGGCACCAGGGCAGGAAGAGCGGCCCTGGCTGCGGACAGGGAGAGGCCTGGAGTGGGGAGACAGAAGTGGGTTTGAGGGTGTCGTGATGGGGGTGAGCCTGTGGAGGTGGCCGGGTCCCTGCTGGCCTGGAGGTTGACCTGAATGGATGGGGCCACCTTCCAGCTCTTGTGCAAGCATGAAACTGGCCATGCTGGAGCTCTGCAGGCATGCTGGGTCTCCTAGGACTGGGCCAGCTGTCCCTCCTCCGGGGCAGGAGGTGTCCAGAACATGGATGTCTCTGAGGCTTGAGCTGGTGGCAGGCAGGAGGGGCCAGGAGGGTGCCCTTCCCTTCGAAGGTCAGCCTCAGCCACCGCCGCTCTCCCAAGTCCCCTCTCTGCCTTGAATTCCTGTCCTTAGCATGAGGCACATCTCCTGAGTCTGCCTTCAAGGCTCCAGGGCCTGGCCCTGCTCACTGGGTCTGAGAAGTGCCAGGCACGGATCATTTACCTTCCACTGCAAGATGAGGAGACTGAGGTTCAGAGAGGCTCACTAGCTCATTTAGGGCTGAGTGGCAAGGGACAGCTGGGTCTGCATGGCCTCAAAGCCTGTGTGCGGCCCACTCTTTGCCCATGCTTTTGGAAACTTCTGCATCTCACTGAGTGTGGTCTCAGACCTCAGAGCTGGCCTTGCTCATTGTTCACCCCTCCTGGAACCTGGAGTTCTTCACTCGGCTTTCCTGGCTCTGGTTTTGATGTCCAAGAGGGACTTGAGGCCTGTCCCATGCTTCTAGCCTCTCTGCTGCTCCTGCTGTCCCAGGAGGCCCCTGGAGACCACTCCCTCAGCTCAGGGAGCTTCACCACCCAGCCCGCTGCCCGCTCAGCCTTTTCCCTCTACAACCTATGTCCTTAGTGTCAGCTGGGCCAGTGTCCTTGGAGTCCTGGCCATGACCCCCGCATTCTGCACCTCTGCTCTAATGCCACCTCTTCTGGAGGTCTTCTGTCCCTGTAAAGGCTCAGACTGGGTCCCCTTTCCCTAGTATGAGGCAGTGGGAGCTCTCTGTTCTTGGGCACCTCCTGAGCTTGTGGCACAGGGGGCCTGGTGGTCACCACACCTGCCTTGGCCATACTCCTGTTCTCGGTCACTTGTCTGCAGGTGTCTGAGTGCAGGTCTGTGATTGATGGTCCTGCTGCTCACAGGTGCTGTGTGTCATTCAGCCATACCCACAACCTGTCATCCTGGAGGTGGTCCTTGTCTTCCTGCCTTCCTTCCCAGGCTGAGTGGCATCTGGAAGAGGGCAGGTGCCAGCACACACAGCAAATGTCCCTATGGACTCAGGGCTCCTGAGGCAGGGGTGACGACCGCAGCTGCTGTCCTGTTGGGAAGTCAGCTGATCAGTGGCTGCTGTCAGGAGAGCAGCCTGGTTGGTTCATTCATGTGAGGGTGGCAGGAAGGAGGGGTCAGGGACTGGGTGGGCCACCAGTCTTCTCTTTGCAGACTGAAGGCACCCGGCTGCAAAAGGATCTCCGGACCTACCTGGCCTCTGTCAAAGGTAGGAGGCAGGCAGGATGCACCCATGGGGAGCTGGTGGGTGCCGAGCTGGGAGTGTGGGCGAGGGCTGTCAGTTGGTGGTCCGCACCTTTCCTTCCTGCCCCACAGCCATGCACGAGGCCTCCAAGAAGCTGAACGAGTGTCTGCAGGAGGTGTATGAGCCTGACTGGCCCGGCAGGGATGAGGCCAACAAGATCGCAGAGGTGAGCGTGGGACTGGCGGCCCTGGCCCTTCCCGGAGGGCGCTCTGGCCTCAGCTCCCGTCCCACTGGGCAGGGCTCTCTGGGACAAGCTGCTATGGTTCTTGGGCGTTCGTGTGCTGTGTGCCCTGGGGCAAGGTGCCCTCCTTCTCTGAGGGCTCTTCTCCTGACACGCCCTCACACCAAGGTGGGTCAGATGGTGGATCATGGTTGTCCTTATTTGTGTGTTATGGCTCACGACACAAAGCCTCCCTGGCTGACCCCAGTCCTCAGCATATCTGAGCCTCACAGTCATCAGTAGGGCAGGAAATGTTGCCCCCATCTTACAGATGGGGAAACTGAGGCTCTGAGAAGCCACCGAGCCGTGAAGAGATGGGGCTGGGACTGGTCCCTGGGAGTGAGTGCTGGGTCGAGGGTGGCCCAGCACCCTGGTGGCATTGTCGTGTTCTTGCCCATCTCAGAACAATGACCTGCTGTGGATGGATTACCACCAGAAGCTGGTGGACCAGGCGCTGCTGACCATGGACACGTACCTGGGCCAGTTTCCCGACATCAAGGTGAGAGGCCCACTTGCAGATCTGCCCACTTGCAGGTCCCTCACTTCCTGGAGGGACCTGAAGAGAGGACAGGGCCCAGGGCGTGCGGCTCAGGCCAGGAGGAGGCCACCCTGGAGGCAGGAGGCCCCCGGCCTAGCACTTTATCCTCCAGAGCTGCTCCCTCTATTGCCAGCCTGCCGCCCCCATTCCCCAGACCTGGGTCTTCCTGTCCCTTTGGGTCTCAGGGCTGTGGGAGGAGGTCCCATGGTGCGCGCGCGCATGTGTATGTGTGTGTGTGTGTGTTGCTGCGTAGTGGCTGGCTGTGTGATTGTGGAAGGTGTAGAAGGCGGAGCAGGGCCGAGGGATGTGTGTGCCTGCAGGTCCCCTGTGTTTATACCACATGTACTTGGAATGGTATGTGTGCATGTCACCCATTGTCTGGGTCTGCATTTGTGGGTGTCTTTGTGTGATTGTGTGCATTCACAGCCTGCTGTCTCTGCCGGGCCTGGGTGGGTGCTAGGAGCCGGCAGTGTCTCTGGTCTCCAACGAGGCGAGTGATCTCCCGGTGACGTGCACTTGGAGCCGAGGCTGATCAGTGGGTTGATGAGATCCCCTTGGTGGGTGGGATGGGGGTGTCATGCTCATGCTGGCCTCAGGGGCCCCCGTGCAGTTGCCTCAAGCTCCCCGAGTCTGATGTTGGTGGCTCTGGAGATGAGAAGCCAGGAGTCAGGCTGAGGAAGAGACTTGGCTGACACGTCACTAGCTGGTGGACGCGGACACATGGGCTCATGTGCAAGAAAATGTTTCACACAGTGGGGCTGGACCGCTGGGAGGGGTGGGCTCTCTGCCACCAGAAGGGTTCCAGCAACCAGGGCTCAAGGGCTCCTGTGGAGCCGGGGTCTCCTGCTCGCCCTAAGGGTCCATCTAGGGTCTCTGGAGTCTCAGGAGGGATGCCAGACCCCACTCAGCACCCTCCTCCATCTGCCCCAGTCACGCATCGCCAAGCGGGGGCGCAAGCTGGTGGACTACGACAGTGCCCGGCATCACTACGAGTCTCTGCAAACCGCCAAAAAGAAGGATGAAGCCAAAATCGCCAAGGTAGGTGCTGGAGGCGGTTTGGGACAGCATCTGCAGGGGGCTGAGAAAGGCACGTGTCCAAGACCCAGGGGTGGAGCCTCCTCCTGCCTGGGCCCAGGTGGCTGAGCTGGGGGGTGGGGACAGTGCTGGGCCCAGGCCTGTGAGTGAGAGGCTTCTGTGGGTTCCTGGGTGGGGCTCACCGTTGGCCCATTCCTGGCCCCGCAGCCCCCATCCAGGCCACCCGCCAGCCTGAGAGTGGGCCTCTTGGGTCTCCCTGGAACGGTGCCGCCCTGCCTGGCGAGCCGGGTGGAATTCCGTCACGAGATCCCAGGTGACGCGTCCCTGGCTGGAGGGAGCCGGGGGGTGCAGGGCTGGCCCCACTTATCCTGCGGCGAGGGTCTGGGGCAGCCACTCCTCCAGGCAGGGCCCTGCTTGCCAGGTCCCCTGTGCTGCTAACCACGCTCACCTTTTGCCTCTGCAGTTGGAGTTCACCCCCTCACCTGGCCCCCTCGGGCTCCCCCTGATTCTCTCGGCCTCAAGGGCCCATATCTGCTTGGGGTGGCCCCTGCGTGTGGGGCGTGTGGACGTGCATTTAATCTGTGTGTCTCTGTTTCTCTCTCCCCACCTCCCTGGTCTCTCCACCTTCCTTTGCCTTGACCTCCCCACCCCAGCCTGTCTCGCTGCTTGAGAAAGCTGCCCCCCAGTGGTGCCAAGGCAAACTGCAGGCTCATCTCGTAGCTCAAACTAACCTGCTCCGAAATCAGGTGACGCTGGCTTCTAACCTTGCACGTGCTGGTGCCTTCCGGTCTGTGGTCCTGTCCTCTTGCCCTGTGCCACCAGGATGCAGGGCTGGTGTCTGAGCCCGGCAGGCAGGACAGGGTGTTTTCAAAGGCCTCCGCTTGGAGAGCTCCTGCTTCAGAGGAGACCTGAAGTCAAATAGAGGGGTCAGCAAACCGGCTGAGGTGCTCCGTGTGACCTGGGTGGGGGCATAGGTGTGCCCGCTCTGCAGCTGCATCTGTGGTCATTCCTGGAGACTCCTCTGAAATCCTAGGTGCTCAGGAATGCCTTTGAACCATATGCCCTCTGTGAGGGCTCCTTTAGGGAGGGAGGCGACATTATCAGGCCCCTGTGCTGCCATGCCTGTCTCCTTCAAGCCTCATGACAACTCTGAGATCATCTTGAATTTATGGAGCAGACAAAGCTTCCCAGAGAGGCACATCACAGCCTGGGGCCTGAGTCAGTTAGGGGAAAGTTGGGGCTCTCCTGACTCAAGCCCCTACATCATTTCCCTGGGACATGTGGCCCCCATGGTGACTCTGGAGGAGTTACTGGGAGGACCCTCCAGTCAGGCTGGGATGCTGAGACCTGGAAGGGAAGCATGGGCCCTGGAGGGTCGGCCTTTGGGGATTCATGGAGGGCAAGTGACCGGCACCACAGTGTTCCTGGGGGGCTTCCTGGAGGAGGCTGTTTGTACAAAACACCTGGGCCGTCTCACCATCTTGGCCATAAATGCTATGGTCTTATCAGCCCCCTGTCTTCCAAATGGGTCACGGTGTGGCCTGGACCGCTGGATGCAGTGCCCTGTTAGAGGAGGGTCACGTGGTTTTCTTTTCCAGTGAAACTGAGGCACATTTTGGGTCAGCGTAGTCATAGCCTGGATGAGGCCCTCACACTTCTTCATATTCCCGAGGGGCCGGTGATAGGGGCCTGGCCCAGAAGGTTGGGTTTCTCTCTGAGCAGCTGCCTTATTTTTTCTGAGCTGCCTCTTGATTTCATCATTTTCATTGAGTGCCTGCGATGCGGAGAGCTCTGGGTGGGTTTGGCATGGCTTGCTGTCCAATTTCGTTTTCTATTTTTTTTTTTTTGAGTCTCGCTCTGTTCCCCAGGCTGGAGTACAGTGGAGCAATCATGACTCTCTGTAGCCTCGACCTCCCCAACTCAAGTGATCCTTCTGCCTCAGCCTCCCAAATAGCTGAGACCATAGGCACGCATCACCATGCCTGGCTAATCTTTTAATACTTTGCAGAGGTTGGGTCTTATTATGTTGCCCAGGCTGGTCTTGAACTCCTGGGCCCAAGTGATCCACCCTCCTCTGCCTCTCAAAATGCTGGGATTACAAGCGTGAGCCACTGCTCCTGGCCTGCCTGTCCAATTTCTCACCTGATGTGCTGCCTGATTTCTTTTAGGCCAAAGCTGGCTTTGGAGGCACTGAATGTTTACAGCCTCATCCTGAGATCAGGGTGCCCTTGGAGAGCCAGGGGCTGGGGGTGATGCCTAGGGGCCTCTAATAGGCCCAAGACTTCATCTGACTCTGGAGGTGGAGGAGGAACCCAGGGCTGGACTTGGAGTGCTCCGACAGTCAGTTCAGCACTTGGGCTGGAGGAGGAAAATGTCTATTGACCGAGGGCCGGGGTTTCTGAATCATTTTCCCTGAAGCAAGTGAAACATTTTCTTTGGTTGAGAGAACCCTTAGGAGGCTATGGGGCCTGCCCTCTGCTTTTGGGCTCCTGGGACAGGTGTGGCTGGGATTCCCTGCCCCACCCCCACCCTGGGTAAGGCATGTGATCACATCTTTGGGTGCTGGGCTGTAGATGTTTCCCATTTTGGCCAAACTGGCTGTCCCATTTGGATGCCACCTTTATTTAAGCACATCCTCGTTGTCCCCACCCCACCATACCGGGCTGGAGGCTGGAGAGCCTTTGGAGTGAACTGTCGGCAGCTGGCTGGCAGTGAGATGGCACAGCTGGGACCCCGGGGGTGCCCTTCTTGGGGACTTGACTTTGAGGAGACAGTGCATCCTCTCCAGGCTGTGCCTGGGGGGCTGGCCAGCTCCATGCGGCCCCTGGGCTATTTCTCACCTGCTCTCCACACCTGCCCTGGCCTCCTGAACGCTGCCCTCGGGACACCGGGCTCGTGTGACTCTGCCCTCCGCCACTGTTAGCTTCAGTGGAGCCATGGGGGTGGCACGCTCTCCTCATGGCAGACAGCCCTCACCTCACTCCCTGCCCCTTCCACATGCTTCCGAAGGAGCCAGAACATGAGGAATGTCACCCAAAGGGAATACAAGACACAGGTCCTGACTTCAGGAGCTCTCACATGGAACTGTCCCCACTCTTGGTCTCTGCAGTGTCGGGCTGCAAGAGCATGGCTGGGTGCAGAGGTGTCCCCTAGACAAGCTGTGGTGCTGTC